AAATGCAACTCTTTAAAATAGAGAGTATCTCATGTTTGAAGAGTCTCTTGGAGATGCTCTCAATCTATAAATCGTTTTCATTATGGTGTTGTAATGGCCACATATTATTTTTTATTTTTTTACACACATACATAGATGTTACTTTGGCTCCTAGTTAAACTCAATTCTTAAATGAGCAATAAATTGCATAAAGAACACAGTGCTATAGAAAGTAAAGAGCACAAACTAAATTTTCACTTTACACTAATTTTCATAGAGTCCATTACATGACTAAAGCCACCTCTGATATGACCAAAAAAATTGATTTATATTTTCACCCAAAAAATAAGGGGTATGTGCAAGGGCGAAGTCAGGAAATGATCTTAGCGAGGGCTAAAATTTAAAAATTCTAAATAAACCCACGTTACAAGAGATCGAGTTTATGATACTACACTCATTACATTCCTGACAAATAGCATGTGACATTCAATGAAGTACAAGTCTAAATTCTCACCTTAAGACGTCTCTCTACATATTCATACTTTTTCTTGCGAAATAAGTAATCGACGCTCACCAAAGAAAATGAAAACCGATAGAAACATGATAAACATAAGCAAACGATATATATCCATCAATCAAAAACTAAAAAAAAAAATACTCAAGAATTTTACTACAATTTGTTTTAAACAATTGAAAGTTTTGGCCGAAAATACATTATTGTACGTCACTGTTCTCAAAATATTATTCAATGTAGACATCGGTATTTTATACCAACACATTCTAACGTGAGTGAAGAATCCACCCAAAGTGAAAAAAACGACAAGGAATTTCAAGGGGAAAAAAATGATTTCTTTCATGTCCATGTTCGATTCAACTTCTATAATATACGTATAATCTTATTATTTATAAATAAATAAGTTCTTATAAATATTTTTTATTTATTATAAGTTTAAATATAAAGTAAGTTATTTATTTTGATAGTAATATCAATTTCATGGTCAAAGTAAGTTTTTTTTCTTATATGCATGAATAAATTAATTGGGTGGAAAAAAACGACAAGGAATTTCGAGGGTAAATAGTCTCCGGAACGGTAGGAGTGGTGGAGGTAAGGTGAGTTAATTATATTATATTAGAATTAAATATTTAATAAATTTATTTAATAATTAATTAATAAAAATATTTTTCATTAATAA